TTGCAATACAATTTGTTGGCCCACTGAAGTAAGTATGGTAACGGCAATGTTTTTATTCAAAATTTGGATGTATTCGATTATTATTCTCTACATTCATTATTTTACTGTAAGTAAACGTAACTTATAAGTTTGCTATATTTTTAAAACATTTAAATTGGAAGTAATTGCTTTTTATATTAGTATTGACAAGCAAATTTTATGAAAAATCTGCATTTTTATTAAATTTAAATTGTTTTAACTAAAATTATACAGTTTTATAGTTACAGAGTATTGATAAATTTTTTTCCCATGAAATACTACACCATTAGTATTTATTAAATACAGAATATTCTGAAATTTGTTTACTCTTGTGAAAACAGTATTAAAAAATGAAAAATTGAAGTCCATAAGAACAATAAAATATTGAGAATTTTTTAAAAATTGTCCCCTAATACAATGCGAAACGTAAAGTGAAACTTGTACATTGGTGCAAATAATAGATAAGATATTTCCTGTGCGTAATAAAATTTCAAGAAACATAATAGTAGCAATGTAAGAGTAGCTCTATCTTTAGAATACTGCTCGGACGCTCACGTACTGTCAATTCATTCGTCATTTTAGTCAACTTTCGAAACACGTACCTGAATGTCGTTCGTATCTTACAATGATCGTCTATTGTTTATGCTATCACTTTAAAACGCACACTTGCCTTCTCGATAACTCCTAGAACTGTATACCATATATAGCTCTGTCAATAATATCTAAAGTGTCACTTGTTGAATTGCGTTTTTTATCGAGACAATCATGCTGTTATGATGCGACACCTTGTTAATAGTAATATATGTTGGGAAAAAAATAAAACGAGTTTGCGATGATGGCATTGTTTGCCGATGACAATTGTTGTAGGTGAAAAAACTTTGCTACTTGGATGTTATTTAAATGGCCTATATTTAGACCATCACGTTCTATGAATCATCGTTCTAGTGACTTTTATGCCTTTTTTACTACAACAATCGAGATTTAGCGTTGATAATGAGAAAAAAAAAAAAAAAAATTGTTGACATACCTGATGGCGTTGAATTGTTAATGATAGAAATAATTATAAATTAACTTTTTAAATTCATTTATCATTGTAAAAATTTTATACCAACCAGATATTTGAATATTATCAGTTAAAAGTGTGTAACTTAAAATACCAGAGTATAATAAATGATTTTTAGGCTCTACAATAAGATATCCCGACGATTTTGTACCGCGAAAAAGGAACTCCATAGACATGCGTATACTGGAGGATCTAACAACTAGAGATTTGGCTAAAGTCTCGCCCCGTGATTTTCGAAAGATTTCGTCACCCAATTTTAGAAAAATGTCTTTGGACCGAATAGGTGGTGAGCGCCGATTGGAGAAAACACTAGGCTCGAGAAAGGCAAGCTTGGAGTCTAGGCGAAGTCCGGATTTGAGGAAATCTGACTACAGGTGAGAATATTTTCAATGAATTAATTGAAACTATAGAACTTATAATTAGTCCTTTAAACCTTTTTTTAATGTAGCTATTTTTTTATGCATATAAACATATTTTGTTTCGTCACCATCTTAGAATTGTAAATAATGAGAATTAACCATAACTATGCTGTTATATATTTTATGGTTAACAACGATGGTTGGTTCATAAAAAATAGTATTTAAATAAATTGAAAAATTCTGAGAACTGAGTATCAACGCAAATCTGTCAAAAAAATAAATCATCCTTCGCGATGTTGTATTAAAACTTTAAATGCACAAGTCGTGTACGCGACTTAAACTGAACTTGTAAACTACAGAAAGTACTCGATCGAGCGCTTCACGGCTGACTGCGCGAAATATCTCGCAGAAGGGCTCGAGGGCAAAGCTCGGGCCAATAGTGGCGAGAATCTACAGCGGAGGCCACGCCACCCGAAACTTTACCACTCGCGCTCCGACGACAATCGGCGCCGATCTTTCGATCGGCATCGGGGTGATTCGCAATCCAGCCGCTATTCTCTGAATACACAGGTGAGATTTTTTTTTTTTAAAGGAGACAATCTACGTTAATATAATTTGGTACCGTTTCACACTTTAAAAGACACGTCAAAAAAATTTTTTTGGACTTAAAAATATATCTACAAAAATTAAATAAATAGAAAAAAGGTACTAAAGAGAAATCCCGAAGATTGTAAAAAGAATTTACTAATCGTTCGAAAAAAAGCAAGTTTAAAAAAACTTAAATTAAACGAAAAATAAATATTATTCTTGAGGATTTTTAAAAACTCGTTTTACTCGCAGTTTTACTCGATATTAGCAAATTGATTAATAAAGAAGGGTTTATAAAATTGTATCAAGCATATTAATTAACTAATGTATAAAATTATAAACGCGATAACTATCCTTTTTCGAACAAACTCCCTATACCGACACGCAACCAATATTCCTTCGGCAAACTCAATTAAAAGTTCGACCCACGGCAAACAAGCTCACGAACAAAGGCCGCAAAGTTGGCCCGTTTCCCAGCTTTGTTGATCCAACGCCAATATATAACGTAATCCTTACCGTTGAATCCCCACGTGCAGGTTTCATAGTCGTCGCGGCGTGCGTGATGACGTTCGAGGCCCGCGACAGCGCAGCCAAGGTCATGCCGGCGCGTTTCCGGTTCAACAACGCCCAGCAGACCCAAAGCGTGAAAACCGGGGCCAAGAACCACCAGCGCAGCCGCAAGTCCACCTCGAGCCAGACGAGCAAGTGGGACCACCAGCTCGGGCTGTTTCGGACTAACCGCAGCCCGAGCCCGAGCCTGCGCGAGTCCTCGCGACGCCGGCAGCTGCTCACCGCCGAGTTCGTGCAGTTTTCCAAGGCCCTCGAGGACCGCGGGGTCACCAGGCCCATAAAGAGGAGTCCCAGTGCTCCTGTCCTCGACGCCCACAAAAAGTCACCCACGAGGCTGGGCACGGCCCGCGGGGCGAGACAGTCCGGCAGGTACGCCGGTTCGTCCACCGCTGGCGGGTGCGCCCTACTCAACCCCGAGCTGCTCAAGAGACACGCCATTTCGGTGGACAATCCGGGGTACAGTCCACACCAGGTGGGCAGCTTGCGACAAAAAAATTTTTTTCTTCCACGCGGTTGATCGTGTGATGGGGCGTTTGGATTTCGACGCGTTCACACGAGCTTGTAATAAAGTTTAAAAAATCTTTTTTGCTAAATNTGCCAGAGGTGGAGGAGATAATGGAAGAAGAGGTGGTGGTCACAGAACAGAGTGTTACGAGGGACACGATCGTGGACGTACCAGAGGAATAAATATTTTGTAAAATTAAAGGTCGCATTGATAATTAGATTAAATGTGAGAAAAAAAAGTTTGTTATTGCAATACAATTTGTTGGCCCACTGAAGTAAGTATGGTAACGGCAATGTTTTTATTCAAAATTTGGATGTATTCGATTATTATTCTCTACATTCATTATTTTACTGTAAGTAAACGTAACTTATAAGTTTGCTATATTTTTAAAACATTTAAATTGGAAGTAATTGCTTTTTATATTAGTATTGACAAGCAAATTTTATGAAAAATCTGCATTTTTATTAAATTTAAATTGTTTTAACTAAAATTATACAGTTTTATAGTTACAGAGTATTGATAAATTTTTTTCCCATGAAATACTACACCATTAGTATTTATTAAATACAGAATATTCTGAAATTTGTTTACTCTTGTGAAAACAGTATTAAAAAATGAAAAATTGAAGTCCATAAGAACAATAAAATATTGAGAATTTTTTAAAAATTGTCCCCTAATACAATGCGAAACGTAAAGTGAAACTTGTACATTGGTGCAAATAATAGATAAGATATTTCCTGTGCGTAATAAAATTTCAAGAAACATAATAGTAGCAATGTAAGAGTAGCTCTATCTTTAGAATACTGCTCGGACGCTCACGTACTGTCAATTCATTCGTCATTTTAGTCAACTTTCGAAACACGTACCTGAATGTCGTTCGTATCTTACAATGATCGTCTATTGTTTATGCTATCACTTTAAAACGCACACTTGCCTTCTCGATAACTCCTAGAACTGTATACCATATATAGCTCTGTCAATAATATCTAAAGTGTCACTTGTTGAATTGCGTTTTTTATCGAGACAATCATGCTGTTATGATGCGACACCTTGTTAATAGTAATATATGTTGGGAAAAAAATAAAACGAGTTTGCGATGATGGCATTGTTTGCCGATGACAATTGTTGTAGGTGAAAAAACTTTGCTACTTGGATGTTATTTAAATGGCCTATATTTAGACCATCACGTTCTATGAATCATCGTTCTAGTGACTTTTATGCCTTTTTTACTACAACAATCGAGATTTAGCGTTGATAATGAGAAAAAAAAAAAAAAAAATTGTTGACATACCTGATGGCGTTGACTTGTCATCGTCCTAATGTATACTCTTTGCCTCCGATGCAAAAAAATATATATTTGTTTATACCTTCCATGTGTAACTGTATATTAATAACTATATACATATACTGTTCTCACCTTCGAGTCTTTAATAATTGTTGATAGGAAATTAACCATTAGCAAATGTTGTGGTTAATATTCCAATTGAAAATTTTAAAAATAATATAAAAGAAATTAAATATTATATTACATCCCCTTTGATTGAACAAAGTTCATCGGAGCGGACTGTTGAACGTTGATTTTTGTATCGATGTACCTCGAGTTTGGTCACTGAAATCCAATAGATACAGAGGTTTGTACGATCCGATAAAAATTGTATTGAACGCCTATATCGATTTCACGTTATCTTGTTACAATTGAAGCTGGAAACTTTTTTTCCACAAGATACCATTGGATCGTTTAAACTTTCAGCTTTCCAGTATTGAGGGAAAAATACGATAAATTTTTCAGAGTTCCAACAGCGATGGAAAATTCCAATCTGAAAACGGTTGACGATGATTTGATTTATCCATCGTCAGACTTGGGCATAATTACTTTTTTAAATATTGAAAAATTTTTAAAATACATCTTTTGTGCAGAAAGGGAATTTTTTTACTAGTCACATGTATTGTTTAAATTAATTGTTAATGATAGAAAGGTGTTCTCGTATATGCTTCAATATTTGTAGTGATTTTAATTAGGTTGCTATTTACGTTGATGTTTGATAACAGGGAAATTGTTCAATACGAAACAGGAGTTTTCAGAAATACCATACCAAATTTTATAATTGTTGAAAATTAAAAAATTCACTTTAAAATATTGGAAAAACTGTTTGTTTAATTTTTAATTTCTGATAGTCTTAAATGTTTACTCGTTGCGGTACAAACAATGAAATTTATACTTTTACACAATCACTTTGCCAATATTATGGGCAATCGTTCGAAAAAAAGCAAGTTTAAAAAAACTTAAATTAAACGAAAAATAAATATTATTCTTGAGGATTTTTAAAAACTCGTTTTACTCGCAGTTTTACTCGATATTAGCAAATTNATTTTTCACAATTATTTACGGAAATAAAAAAATTCGTACTTTTGTAAAAAAAAAACAAAAAAAAAAGAAATAAATTGCATCACAATTAATTTGTCTTGATCGAACAGTATCCAAAACGTGACACGTTATAAAAAATTACCGAAAAACCGTTTATTCACATTTTGCACGAACAAATCAAACGTAAACATAATCCAAACTGTGATCGAAACACACGTCGAGCGCATGATTTTCAGACGGAAATTTCGCTCAAGAACAAAAAAATCGAGAAAAACGTATTTGTTAGATATAGACTCAGGCCAGCAGAGTGAATTATATATTGTAATGGTGTAAAAAAAAAAAAAATAATAATGATAATAAAAAATAAGAAAAAAACCAAAATGTTGTAAAATTGTGAATTACTGTATAATCTGTGCATGCTGATTGTCGTGGCATATCAATAATAAGGAAATAAACGAAAAGAAGAGCAGCGAACCGATTTTCTCAATCTCCCCTCCGGAACCTTTTAATATTACATAATTATTCACTATAAAATAGCATATAAACGCTGAAACTCGACCGATAAAGCAGCCCAGAGGCCACCTGGTCACGGCAGCAGCAACACCCAGCAGGTGAGAGGAACCGATCGGCAATGTACACACAAGATGCGTATACGTGTGTGCACGGCGTGTATACTATTTTTTTTAATGCACTGCGACGACGACGAAGAGAAAGGGGAGTCGGCGGCTTATCGAGCAGCTCTCCTGCCCTGGCCGGTGTGCCGATCGCTGTAATAACGACGCGCCAGTGCTCTGCCGGACTCCATAGCGTGGAGAACCGATCGGCCAGTTTGTCCGCTGCGAGTGGGTGTCCCGTATTCGATTTTTTTTTTTTTTTTTTTTCATCGCGCGAAATTTTTACCGTATATACGCCCTCTTACGTAAGGTTGTATATTGGGTGTGTGAAAGTTGTTTTTGGGCAGAGTGTGTTGTTTGTACGTGTGCGAGTGCTGGGCAATTCGTCGCAGATGATCGGTGGGAGAGACAAAAAATCGGTAGTGACCGGAAAAGAGCAGAGTCGTTCTGCCAGTCGGGTTTTTTCCTCGTTGTGAGTTCCGAGAGCTGGTGCGCCAAGTTGACTGGAAAGTGGCCGATGCAAGTGACCGGTGGCGAGCCCTGAGAGGAGATTAGAGGAAAGATGTCGTCCGAACGGTTTCACAAGTGAGTGACCCTTACCGATTTTCTGTGCTCCGGTTTATTTATTTTTTTCCTTTTTTTTTAGCTTTCGATGAATCGGGGACGGGTTAAGTTTGCGTTATGCTAGTGTTGGAGGAGCATGATTTTTTTAATGTGAAGCATACTGATGTTTTGAGGTTGAAATGGACGAATGTATAAAAAGGTTTTGTTGTGTGACTTTTTCTTTTTTTCGATAGCATGAAAAGATGTATTTGTTAGTTGTCTTACTTCAATTGAATGTCTTTATTATGGGTTTGGATGAGAGACCTGTTTATGGATACGATCTTGCTATGAAGACTTGGATATTGGCGTTATTTTTTAAAAATCTTATAAAAATTAGTGCCATAGTCTTCTTTTATCAATGTTAAAATATTTCGGTACTGCCCAAATACGTGCATAAGAGATTTAACTGTTAATTTTTTTCTTAATTTATAATTATACAACAATTAAAGCTTCAATATCTATAAAGATCCGAGCCATCATAAAATAATAAAAAATTTTATTCATTCACATAACTAAGCATGTCGAATGTAGTTGAATTTCAATCGCGATTGAGCGGCGTTGATAAAAATTTTAAGTACTCCACTTCCGATTTTCCGAGCCGATACGAGAAAATTGCCCATGTCGATCAACGATGACCACCACCAGATAAATCTTTACGGCCTGAAAAGATATCGTAGTACGAGGTTTTTCCAGAGTTTATCGCCTTCAAATAAGCTTTTTTCACGCGCACGCGCGCATTCGCAATCCGAGAAAATACTCCGCTTATCTTAACGCGAATGATGGTCACGAGATAAAAAAAAAAAAAAGTAATATAGTTGAGCATCCACGCGACACTTCCAGCTGAGATAATTGTTATGTGCTCGATAATCTTTACATGGGTTCAAAGGAATATAATTCAAGGTATCTTGTCATTATATATACCTCTTACATTACCCTAATGCGCAATTTTGTTAACCGAATCTGTGTCTGGCGTAGTTCAGACGGTAGAGTACAGTCGAACTCATGATTATTATTACCTCCTCACCTAGAGTTCTAAATCTGTACATCTTCATAATACAACAGAGAGGTTTTGGTGCCCAAGTATATGGATAAATTCAAAGAAAAAATTGAATATAACTCACGTTGCCAGATAATCCCAAAAATTACGTTTTCCGCCCTCGGATGGTTTTGAGGGGCTGGTACTTCCTCGGGCAAAAAAGCAATTTTCCGATACTCGTTCGAAAAGTCTCCTTTACGAACCTCGTTACGGACTTCGCCTTCGACTCGCAAACAAAGACTTTTCAAACTCGTAGGAAAACTACTATTTTTGTAAAAATTAAAATTCCAAAGAAACATATACTGTTGTATTTTATTTTTTTGTTTCACTCAGTAAAAATTTACTACTTGCCAAGTTATAAAATGGTCAGTTTTCTTTTGTCATCAATTAAAATTATATTATTCGGAGGTGAAAACATTGTAATAAACTCTTCAAAGATACACCCAACTCGCCAAGATCCCACGCGCGATAATCTATAATTCGCTTTCTGCCACTCAAAGGATATTCCGACTCTTGTGCGCTTCGTGAAAAAAAAGCGACGCAGCAACGTTTTTCTTGACGCAGCGAGTAAATCGCGAACAATGGCAGGGCAAATCGAGCCTCTTTGCCGTAGGTTTGAAAAACGGGGCTGGCAGGAGATGCAAATTGGCCGTGAGCTGTTGCACAGTGGAAACGAAAGCGCAATTGCAGCAGAGAGGGACCGAGACTTGGACGTTTTTGCCGGAAGCGATAGAAAAAAAAGTCGCTGTAAGGATTTCGTCGAGCTTTTTGGTCGTTATAATACACGTTAATATACGTGTCATCTTTCATTGAAAATTAAAAGACAAGAACTGAGCTGGTTACCATGCGACGAGTTTTTCAGTGTATTTTATTCCGGCTTCTTCTGGACCATTACAAATGATACGTGATTGATGGAAGCAGGTAGAGTGAATTGTTTGACGAAATTATTCAAAAATCATTTGCTTCGAATGAAAGAAAAAATTAAAATCAAATAAGTTAACTGTTTGAATACAGTTGAGAGTAATACTATTTTATTTGCTTATACTATAGAAAAATATTTCGACCAAAAAACTTTGATTGAAGTTAAGATGAAATAAAATAATTACACGTAATTTCAGAATTTCCTCTTACATGGTACAAATATTATGTTAAATACACTTTTATTTACCAAAAATGTTTTTAAATTATTATTTACTAATTTATATGCTGACATTTGAATTAAGACTTTTCGTAAGAAAAATATTTTCATAATCAGTGGCAATGCAAAGGTTGCATATCTAATAATTAGTATGTACATTGGCAAAGGCCAAAAAATAAGCTAAAAAACGTTAGCCACATCGTGTTTACTTTTGGTTGGTAGTGAATAATAAATGTGAAAGTAGTCAGAATAATTTACATCACACGATGCGCGCTTAGCATAACGAGTAAGTATGAAATGTTACTTAAGGTTTAATCAACTTGAGTTTTTTTTTTTTAATTTAAAACATCTTTTATTTCCATCTTTACAATCCCTTGCAACATAATATTATTGAGTACAAAGTAAATTCTCGAGATAAGCCCGATACGAATGCCGTAAAATTGTACATCTTAGAGGCTCACAAGCCAAACGGACGAGTAGGTATTACGGGCATCTACTCAGGATCACTCGATCTCCGCGGTCGAGCGATTTCAAACAGCTGATCTGTTTTTTATTGAGCAATGTCGTGCAGTTATTTAAGTTGCTTCGACTTCTTCTTGTGGTTAAACGATTCGCACGGTGCAGGGGAATCATTGGAAAAATTATTCCACCATCAAGAATGAAATGGGTAACAAAAGTTACATAGAGACACGTTTGTACAGTGAACGAACGAAGGAAACCGATCGCAGTCAAACATAGCGGGTCGTAAACTTACGAAAGAAAAGCAATACAACTGGAACCCAGTGGGTGAAGACCCCTTCTAGAGAACGAAGGAGGAGAAACAATAGAAAAATAAGGAAAAAAAAAAAGTTTCGGTCGAGAATCGATAATGTCGAATTACCTGGGGAACTGCGAGGGGGAGAGGCGTATATACACATATATTACGCAAGAACCGAACTGCGTTTCGTGCAGGGGTAGGAAACGCTATTTTGTGTTTTTTTAGGTGAGAACGTACACGCTATGGGTGAAAAAGAAAGTTGCTCGCTCATTTTTGTATGTTAACAACTTTGTGACGGTTTTACGCACAGGTGGTGAAAAAAAAAAGGCTCGAACAGACGTGCAGTAAATTCGTGAACTTTATCGGGTACCGCGAACAAACTGGAAAGATTTACGTAGACGAGAGTTTTTTTTTCCATTTCCCTTCGCCAACACACGCTCCTGGCTGTTGATGGATTTATGCGATGCACGACTCTGCACGCGAAACACATCAGACGACGGTAATGGTTGCGCTTTAGGATTTATAGTACAGCATTTGACAGGGAACAACAAAAGTGTTGGAAATTCTGTAAAATTGTGGAAAACAGTACCTATTGTACTTTGTACAACTGGGTAAATAATATTTATCGGCAATCAATTTTAATCGCGTGGACGCGCGACGATACACTTTTTATTATCCAAGTATACTGCGTCTATTTACGATGACACGTTTAATCGATAGAAACACACGTGCACGACCGATCATTTTGGATGATTGCCGATTTCATGATAACAGCTGGTTTAATCGTATAATAATTATGATAAACTGCAAAAAAAAAAAAAAAATCATTCAACAAATGATAGAGTGCATACGGATAATACTTTTCAACATACTTACTTAATTCGGTCGAAATAACGCATAATCACAAAGTAATCCGCATAATTACGTGTTCGTCCCCCTATCACTTGTGTGTACAGCATATACATGAGCTCTGACTATTAATTTATTTCGAGTCTCTTGAAATGTCGAATGACTTGGGGGGGGGGAGGGGAATGTGGGCCATGGGGTTGCATGCACGTGCCATGAATAATTATTAAGCAAGAGGCAAACAGGGGCATGGTATACAAGGTGCACTAAGTGCACACAATACAAAAAGCGCAATATGTGAACTCGAGTGGGAGAGTGAGATAGAGAGAGGGGGAGGTGAACTTTGCGCGTGCATTTCACACATTGTGTGCTCAACATGCAAGTATGGGTGATGCTCAACTAACAAAATAGTAGCTGACTGTCACGAGCTTGACTTTCCATCCATACTTATACGAAGAGGAGACTCTCTCGAGGATTCGCGTTGAGCAAGTCTATAACGTAATTTTGTATGGAGATCAATGACGTTTATTCTATCGTACGTGCGAGTGTGTAATTGATTTTTTTTTTATTTTTTAGTCATAAACCCACCGAGATCTTTTTATTAGTATGGCCTCAAATGAAAATCACAATAATTTAATTCCAACAAAAATTACATTAACACGTACCGTCAGGTGCATTTTGATTTTTTTATCCAAGTAAAGTGATGACGATTCGAAAAAGTTGAAATTTTTTTTTTTTTTTTTTTTAATTCGCTTAAAAAATGTTATATAACATTGAGTAGAGCTTGAGGTCAACAAAATTTTGTAGGATTATCTTAAAAGTTTTTTTTGGCTCAAAAAAGGCAAAATAAAATAAAGTGGATAATTCCAACTGGACAGCATTAAAAATAATTCGAACGGCTGAATTAATGATTTCCTAAGATATTTGCATTCAATAGCATTGGATTTGGTCGTTTGCGTGTATTGAGGTGATGGCGATGATGACAAGAAAAAGATAATATCAACCAAAATAATACTAATGTTGATGTAAAAATTAAATCTTTCACTTGGTTTTCAAAAATTTCGAGAGGCTGCAGTTTCGCTAATTTCAATTTTGTAAGCAGCTCGAGGGCCCCTCTCGAAACTTCAATTTGCCAGAGAAGGTTAACGAGTGAGAGGAACATCCTTGCCAAAGTTGAAATTACTCCAGTTGTAACTTTGATGCGTTCAAACTAGCCGACGTTTCATGCAAATGAAACTTACTCGGTGTACATAGCTATGAGTAAATAAAGTAACAGGCACTGGCGAAAGAATGCATTTTGAAAACACACAATGATGGTTTTTCCAACGCAGAGGTGAGCTCCTCCAACTATTGGAGTTGTACTTTGTTGGGATACAATAGTTGAAGAAAGTGAAAAAAAAAAAAAAAATGTACGGAGAAAGAAAGCAAGTATAGTGACAGCTGAAAGGCAGCATACAAATGCGAGGAGCCCTGAAACGCCGTTCCGTGAAACCAGCTCTGAAAATTGAATCGTTTATCTCGTTACGTGGGAGTATATATAGAAGGAGGAGAAAAGTCCTGTGAGGAGAGCACACGCGAAGCCAAGGTAATGGGTTGAGGAGGGGATGCTAATTGGAGAAAAGGGGCAATTAAAGCGTAGAAGAGCGTTTCGGGGAAGAGTAGTGTCGTCGAGGAAGAGACGGATGCTCCCGTTTAATTGAGCGTCGATGCTGGGGAGTTGGTAAGAGCTGGTATGTTTCTTTGGTGTTTTGCGTCATGTGCATTGCTGAAAATGCTTGGGGAAAATTTTTTTTTTTTTTTTGGCTTAAGATATGTAACGTTAGGATATGAGGTGTGACGTGTTGAGATTATAGGGGCTCAATGGATTTGAGAGTGGTGGCAGGCTGTAAGGATTATCAAAATGACCAGTGTGATAAGTTGCTGACACTTGTTTTAATTTTTTTTTTTTT